AATGATTAGCCTATTAATCCATCACTTTTTAAATTATGAAATATATCTAGTCATAGTTCTGGTGTCTTTGTTCCTCTATGATGGTTGGGAGAATATCTTCACAATTCTAATATTAATTTATCAGACGCTTTTATCACTAGCGACAGAGAGTCAGAACAGTACAAGTAAGGATCTAGAGAGGAGGGAACAACGACAGGAAGTGAAAACGAACAGCTTTACACAATATTTCCAAATGTCATCTTGATATTTGGGGAACAGTAATCACAACTTTTTTAATGATTTCTTACATTTTTAAGACATATTCAAAGGAGGAAGTTACAAGTGTAATCAAAACCGAAATGCACTGAGACGTTCAGCCCTGAAGAGCAGCCACAGTCAGTATCTCACTGAGCAGACACATTTGGTTCAGAGAGGTGTGTCAGTGCCTTTAATACCCACTGAGTCAGGTCAGTGGGACTGAAACATTGCCATGAATTATAAATATCAGCTGGGGACATCCCTAGTCTTGATTTAGCCTGCTCCAGATCAAGTTAGCTGTGCAGCAGCGTTGGTTATCATGGTTAATCTAACCTTAGGAACCGTGTCACTGTTGGAGAATCAGAAATAGGAATCATTTCTGAAAACTCCTGGCTCTTCCTTTATTCTTCCTGGACGTGGCAATGGTTCGGCCAAAGATGGTTTCTCTGGTGGCTGACTAATCCCATGAACTTGTTTGTTGCATGACCACACTTGCACACAAAACCAAATCAAGTTTCTGTACCTTTATGGATGAACACTTAATCATTACCAAACTCTTCCTGACACTGTTATCAGAAGAAATGTCTTGAAAAGTCATGGAAAGACTCAAAGTGAACCATTAAACTGCACAGGGAAACTCCCAAACCAGTTGGAGAACATGTGCAAACACAGAATTTTACTAACTACTTCTTAAACAAAGATGTCACACCAGTTCAAACACTCGAGTGAACTGTGTTCAGAGAGGAGCGGTGTTAAGCAGGCTGCATGAAAATGACAATACCATGTTTATCCTCCACTCACAGGAGTACAAGGTAGCATCACGGCTAACAACAGCTATGAGAGGAAAAGATGCAGCAGAAATGTGCAGAACAGACTCACTCATGGAGTCGTATGTTAACATCACTCATCACTTCATTCAGAAGTGGGCTTTAAAGACTGCAGTCCTACAGACATACAGCGCTGATGACGGACACAATATATAAAAAACATAGTGGACCACCGAGAGGTCTGTATTCGTCAGTGAGTAGTCGAGGACTCGTTCACAAGGCCATGGACTGAAAGTGAAATCTACACATGCAACAGCTTGTTCTCCATGCACCTGCTTTAAGAGGGGGCGGGCAGGGTTGCTTACACAACAAAAGTCTATCAACCAGACACAAAGCACAAAGAAAAAGAAACCCACATCAAATCTTTACTCATGCGTCCCCTTTTTGATGCACGTTAACTAAACACATTCATCTGCAATGAAGACTACGGTTGTGTTTTCAGGGTGATCTTATGACAAACTATTAAAACTGAAACTTGAGTTTAAATTATTTGGTTTAATCTCTGAAAATATAAAAAATGGCCAGCTGGCAGTGTTTTCCCTTTTCCACACAAACTGCAGTGCATAACAAGCTAAATACAAACTGATACACCTCCTGACAAGTTTGGCCACCGTCAGGATGACTCGTCAGTCTCTAATAATGTCATATGAGTGCTAAAACATTCAGCAAATGTTCTTAAGGCCACGTCATGAACGACATTGTTTGCAAACTGCTCTAGGATATATCTCTTTTATTTTCCAAAGAATTTAAAAAAGGGCACGTTAAACCAGTTCCAGGGAAGTGCACTTAGATGATCACATCACAAATATTACGAGGGTAACTTCCCTAAATGTTGCCATTAGACAAACACATTCACAGTCGCAGTAATCTGCAAACAATCCACGTTTGCTCACGCTCTGAGTTCAGCAGTGGTACGGTACGACACAAACACACCCTCCTGACCCCCAGCTGTTTTCTATTCAACTGATATCCCATAGGTTCACAGGTCACCATGACTGTGTCCCATTTCAATGGGCATTACATCATCTTAAGGCAGTAAAAATAAAATTTCATTGGGCTTTAAAAGTTACCCCCATCAGGGAGAGTCAAGCTGAGTTTGAACCCGGTCAACAAGACACTTCGATGCTTTAAAGAAAAAGAGGAAAATGTGGCTTGAACTTTGGTGAACTTGGTTTTATCCATTGGTATTTTTACTTCAAGTCCAAATATGATAGATGTATGAAAATAAAAAGCCCCAGTGGAGGCATTGTGGACACTGAAATGACCATTTCAAAGCCACAAACACACAATGACAACAAGGGAACATGCCTTGGCAACTTTTCTTCAAATCCTTTGCTTTCGGGGCGCCGGTAGCATAGTGGTTAGTGCGGGCGCCCCAAAGCTGTCTGTTCCTTCTCTAGTTGAATCCCAGATGAGTAGCACAGGGCACCTATCGAACCTCAAGCTTTAAAATGCTATATCAACAAAAAATAAACACATATGGGGCGCAAGAAGCCTAGTAGTTAGTGTGTACGCCCCATGTATGGAGGCTACAGGCAGCCCAGGTTCAAATCTGATCCATGGCTCCTTTCCCACATGTCATTCTCCACTCTCTCTCTCTCTCTCTCTCTCTCTCTCCCTGGTTTCTGACTCTACCAAATGTCCTATCTCTGAAATAAAGGCATAAATATCCCCCCCCCAAAAAAATCTAAAATAAAAATCCATTGCTTTCTTTTCGAGTCCAAGTGACACAACAAACTGTTACGCAAGTGTTTCTGTAACAATACAACTTTGGCACCAGTTTGAGAAAAGGAACAGTGCAGCTGAGGGCCTCTGTTTGACTAAACCTTATCTTCCATTCTTGATAAGCTCTGTTGTAAATGATCACACAGGGATAACTTCAGGCAGGAAATGGTCACCAAACACGAGTAGGCTTTCAACACATCAACACATACCACTGTGGCAAGACTCTAGATTACAGAGTGCATTATACTGAAGATCAGCCTGGCATGACATTGTTTGCTTCTGGTTTAAAATGATCAAAGGAGGGAGGAGATTAATGCAAAGTGGATTGTAGAGTCTGAGTGAACAACAAGGAAAGGGAAGCAACAACTAGTTTATGGCTGATTGAATGGTTAAGCTATTTTTTTAAGTTAAAAAAGGTCCTACTTCTAGCTTGTTTCCCGTTCCTAAAATGCTATTTTTTTCTGGATTCTTTACAACTATGTAGAGTATATGATATCAAATTTAAAATCCTCTGATGCAACACAAATTTCAGAGCATGTCTGACAGTTCTATCAATCTATCAGCTACTCTCAGATGAATTAGTGCCAATTGAACAGTTTCGGGGGATTTTATGGGGGATTTAGACGGGAAATGCTGCAAACACAGGTGTTATTTAAAACATGCAAAACCGCAGACTGACAGAAACTTTGTTAAAGCTAGAATATGCTCTCTTTATTTTTGTTTATCGCAATTCATATGGCTATTGATCACTGCATATGTTTTCTCATGGAAACGAGGGCTGGGCGATATGGACCAAAACTCATATCTTGATGTTGATTAGCTGAATGGCGATACTCGATATATATCGATATGTATTTTATTAACAGTGAAAACACATGGAAAATAAACTACCCGTTTGTGAATTTAAAAAGTAATGTTATAAAATAAAAATACTCCTTAAATACAATAAAAGAGAGAGAGAGAGAGGGGAGGAGCAGGGTGAAGAGGAACAGACAGTCAGTCATCATCAGTGAGATGAGAAAAAGGAGACCTGGCACCTCTGTAATGTTATTTTAATGAAACATAAACTATATCCATATTAACGATATTGTCTTACTCTATATCTTGTTTGAAAATATATCGATATATCTTAAAAACTCGATATATTGCCCAGCTCTAGTGGAAACCTCTACTTACTGCCTGTAGAGTTTCTGTAAAGTCCATCTTGCTAATTTCAGGCTTTAGTTCATCTGGATCATATCATAATTACATCTTTAATGTAATATCAGATAATCCCCAAAGATGCATAAATGTGTCACTGCGTTTTAAAACTTAAAACTGCTTTGGATTGTGGCCCAGGAGCTGCAATGATTTAGAGGTTGACAAGATCCACAATGCATGCATAACATCCTGCAGTCACCACGAATGTCATTCAGGTGGTTTTGCACCTCCTCAACATTATATGCTTCATGATTTGCCGGAGATTTTTCGTGAAGGTGGCACATAAAACTATCACACACACACAAAAGCACATGACATTGATGTCCTAAAAACAAACCTATAGGAGAGCTCCGACATCTACTGTATGTCCAACTTTAACAGGATTAAATGACATTGGAGTTAAGTGGGAGGGGTGGGGGGGGTAATCTGATTAGTGAAGTGGTGAGAAAATTAAAACGCTGATATGTTGAGGGTGCAGATCTGAAATCCCTCCGTCGGTCGAAGCTGCTGAAGCTGCTCTGCAACAAAAGATGTGACTGCTGCTGCTGCTGTTGCACTGCAGCTGTTTACATTACAATGTGGATGATAGCAAACTGTAAACACGTTAATGATTGCTTCTTCTTTTAAAATGCATTTCACTGTGCCATATTTAAGAGACAGCCTGGTGGCTCTGAATAGATGAAGAGTGCACAAACAGTCTGCCATGTACAGCTGTTGATGTGAAACACACCGAAAACAGACAGCTGCTGTAATCTCCTGTTACCGTCAGAAAAACCCATTTTAGTGAATTAAATACATGACCACACATTATTAAAAACTCGAACTGTTAAAACGAGGCTGTGTGAGTGTAGTTTAACTGAAAATAACCTGAATTAAATGTTAATTTAACTCGGGTCGGACAGCATCAAGAATGGGACCCTGTAACGATACTGCGCCGATGCTAGCGGCTGTTAGCATGCTATATATATAAGGGGCCCCATATACAGAACTTGCGCTAACAAAGACACTTACCTTTGATTAATGTCGAGTCAGTGTGTCGCTTTCAGGCGTCCAGGTTGTTGTCAGGGTGTACTTATCCAAAATATGTGCAAAAGAGAGGGCATTAGCTTTCCTCCGGGGGTTTTAAAAAGCGTAGTTCAATGGGGGTATTTTTGTGCTAATGTTAGCATCGAGCTAACGTGCCCCTCTTATAACGGCTGGCCCTGAACATTCTACTGCGCGAGCTCTCCTCAAGTTGTTCCAACGTTTCCGTCCCGCAGTTGATTTCACAATAAAAGCATGTTCCAGGTGTTCACTTAAAAAAATAAAATTAAAAAGGGGAAGACGAAGGGTGGAAAAACGATCCTGGATGTTGTAAGACTTTTTTTTTTAGCACACAGAGCATTTAAAAAAAAACAAAAAACAAAAACAAAATGTCCACAAGATTCAGCAAGGAAATACAAAAAAGACCTCCGACAACAACGCGAGAGCTTTTTCCTCTAAAGTGTGCCGCACCCAGGTGTGTTCACTCATAATCCCCCGGGCAGCTTTTCGACACCGACGAGTTTGAAGCTACATGGAGGCTATTTGAGACCAAGAAGAAGAAGCGACACCTCTCTCTCTCTCTCTCTCAGTGTGTGTGTGTGTGTGTGTGTGTGTGTGTGTGTGTGCGTGTGTGTACATGAAGAAGTGGGCTGTCCACTAGAAGTCGCCTTTCCAGCCCAAGTGGTGATGCGTTCACTGTCTCCGACACTTTCAATTAATCCGTCTCTCCAGGGGGGCATTCAGGGGTTCTCATCTCAGCCCCTAAAGAACTGGTTCCCAATTTATTTATTTTAATTTTTTTTGGCTCGTCAACCCATTTTGACTTTGAAAACACATTCAGCTTTTTTGCTAAAATGTATTTGTTTTGAATCCTGTAGACATTTTTCTACTGTGTTGCAAGTAAAAAATAATTTTAAACCACATTTAGGGTTTTTGTGTTTATTATTCTGGACAGAGGAAGAAAGGCTGGGGTGACATTTCTGCACAATGGAGACTCAAAGATGCAGCAGTGTCCTTCTTTTACATCAGTGTAACTACAGGGAGACACTGAGGACGACTATCTACGGGGAGCCTGAAGAAACAAAATAGCATGAGGTTAATCACGATAATAAAATCAATGCATTCATTTCAGACCTTAATTAGCCGTGATTAACTAATCCTGACAGCCCTAAAATATATACAACATCAACAACAACAACAAGAGGAAACATGACAAGTGACTACAAATAAAAGACTTAAAAGAAAAGTGCTTAAAGAAAAGTAAATTGACTAAAATGGTAAATGGACTTGAGCTTGTGTAGCACTTTTCTTCCCTTTCATTTTAGGTCTGAGAAAAGAGTTTAAACAAAAAACAGGACAGTATTTTAATTAAACACATCTATGTTTCAGTTAAAAGGTTTATTTACAGCAGTTTTACGATTAATGACATTACAAATAAAGTCAAAGACGAAGGAAACAATAATTCTATCATCAAATAGCAACTGTAATATTACATTTTCTTCACCATTTTGAACTCTCATATATGTATATCCTATCCAGTGGCGCCCCCTGGTGTACACACCACCCCTTTTTCTCTCAGGGGATTTACTCATGTTCTAAAAAATATGGAAATCATTCCTTCTACAATCTGGTAATTAAGACATTTTCCTTCATCCTGTTCACGAGAAGAGCAGTCTGAAGCCTAATGCCTTTAAAGAAAGGGATAGATATGGATGTGTTAAAGGAATTTAAAGGACATCCTGCTTGAACACGTGCCGTTAATGCATGTAAGACTATCATTCTTTCTAATCCCTCCGTACCTTAGTCTTTGTCCGATCACTGTAGATAGATTTCTAGATTAAGATTAATTCAAGGTTAATAGAAATGTGATTAAAAAAATTTGACATTTAACCATTTTTGGTACAAAATGAAGGGGACGTCTATCAGCCTCTGAAATAAATGTAAAACAATTTGTTTGCAAAGGAAACTCCAACGGCTTTAAGATGTTTTTAGGATCTTTTGAAAGCTGTCTGTTCCTGCTCTAGCTGCAGCCTGAATTAGTAGGACAAGGCACCTATCGATCCTCAAGCACCCAAACAAAATGACATATGGGGCGCCAGTGGTTAGTGTGTGCACCCCAGCCTGTATGGAGGCTGTAGTCCTCAATGCAGACGGCCTGGGTTCAAATCAGACCTGTGGCTCCTTTCCCGCATGTCATTCCCTTCTTATCAGAGAGTAAGAACAGCACAAGCAAAAGTCGTTTTATGTCATTTTATTCAGGGTCATGTTATGCCTGCCTGCTTCGTTCATTTCTTCATTTGTGTAAGTTAATTCATCAACCAAACAAAACAATTTAATACAAACATAACATCTCAAATCTTGACTGAGTCTGCCCCTTTCTTTCCTGAGATATAAAACGGTCACATATTGTGCTAAATACTCTCCATGTTGTTCTTACACTAATATGTGTCAGTCTACAAACCCCCCAACGATGAGAAAAGTCCATCCTCTCCGTCTTCTGCCTGCTCCACTTTTCAGAAAATGTGTGCTCAAACAGGCCGTTTGGAGATTCCCACAGCTAGGTGTTTGTTCTGCCCTCTGAGTCTGCCTTCTCACCGTAAACAATAGGACATGGAGCGAGAAAGCACCGACCCAAAGCCCTTCCAGAGAGGGGGCGTGGTCAGACCCAGCTCATTTACATATTTAAAGGTACAGACACAGAAACATCCTGTTCTGAGCAGGGCTGAAATAGAGGGGTTTATAGACATGATCAAATACAGGATCAGAGTGGATTTAGAACAAGAAACTTCACACACATGTTTTGAGGAGCTCTGAGACTTATTTACACTGAAGAAGAGGAGGAGGATATGTGACCTTTAATTAATAAAGTACATAATTGAATATCTCTGCTATGAAATTCTGGGACACTTGAATACAACATTCATGTCATAAATCATACCTGTGCTTCTCTTACTGTAAAAATGTCTTGTTTAAAAAAAGCCACCTGTACATATCATAACAACGACCCTCTGTGCAGTGTGGAACATTTAAACACATAAACAGAAATCAAGTAGAAAAACATCAACACTTAAATAAAACAACTGAAGAATACATATTTCTTCTTCTGTCCACCTTGCTTTGACGGTGAACAAAACCCCCTTAAGCGTCCTTCTATATTACACACTTTTTGTTTCCTGAGACTTCGTCAGTCCTTTGCACTGAAAGAAGGCGTCCTGGCGTGGGCTACGTCCGAGGAACGTTTGCAGCATGTCCATCCCATCCACAGATCCACCCGCCTCCAGAATCACCCTCCTGTACTCTTTTCCAACCTGTGACGGAGCAAACGCTCATCAGTATACAGACATTTTATCACGTATTCTACAATTTATTTAGCAGAAACATTTTTTGAGAAGCCTCAGAGAGCAAGTTCAACACAAGGAAGGATCTAGAACGCAGGAAACAACATCAGGAAGAGCCAAAGGAAGGAGTTTGACTGGACATCAGCAGCTTCTCATGAATATTCTTATCACCATCAACATATCCTCAACAGCATCATCATCAGCCCCATTAAACATCATTAAGAGTGAGCTGGGTCTTTAGCCTCTTCTTAAAGGTGCAAAGGGAATCTGCAGCTCGAATGGAGTTTGAAAATTTGGTTTCAAACCGGGGGACTACAGCGAGAAAGAGTCTAGCTGGGGACTTGGGACCCTGCTGCAGAGGTAGGACCAGCGTAGTCGGGGGGAGGGAGTTGAAGAGAAGTATAGGCTTCGCCTAAACTTAAAGCCACTGAGGGGCTACATAGTTGACGCGCTCACCTTGGCTTCGCTCCTGAGCTTCTTGTGAAATAAGACCTTCAAATTTATTCTTCATTTATGGAGGATTTATTTCTCAATTATTAATGCTCTTTAATACTTTTACGTGCAAGATTCAAACATTGTCGGTAAATGTCCATACAAAGATTCACTCTGCGTTACCTTGTGTGCTGTAGCTTGAGGTAGTGCTTTAAAAAAAAATGGTGAATGGACTTGAGCTTGTATATTTCTTTTCTAGTCTTCTGACTACTCAAAGTGCGACCGACTCTACCAAATGAGCCACAGCACGGTTTGTGCTCTTTGATCCAGCAACACCTGACCCCCCCAGTGAAGGTTCGTATCTACACAGTGTACAACCTGAACCCACAGATGACACCTGCTGGAGCAATTTGTGTCTTGCACTTGTGTAACTGCTAAATATACTGTAGCTCCTACAAGCAGCAGCAGGGTTTTATATTGATATGTTAAATATGCTAAACAGTCACTTTTAAAGACCCACCTTTGGATTCATAATGCCTTCCTTTTTAAAGCGACTGAAGTAAATGTCCATGGAGTAGACCTCGCTCCACAGATAGCTGTAGTACTGACCGTCGTATCCTCCCGCCAAGTGGCTGAAACTGGCCGTCATGTTGGTACCTGCAGAGGACAAATGAATACATCTTTACTAAAGTTGACTGTGTGTGCATTTATGAGGGAAGGAGGACGGTTTAAAGAGACAGAAACTGGGGTGAGAGAGTGAGAAATGAGACACAGCCAAGCAGCCAAAAGTTGGAGTTGTACCCGGGCTGCCCGCTTTGAGGACTACAGCCTTTGTGTGATACAAACGCTAGGCTATCCGGCGCCCCTCAAAGATCAAAACTAAACATAAACCTTGTCTGCCCACTGACAGGTATTTAAAGAATTTAAACTTTAAGAGTTAAGAGGACATGAAAGGATTAATAAACTGCATTTTGTTTATTTTCAAACGTCCAACCCCTCTTGGAGACTTGGTTGTTTGTGCTTTGCAGCGATCATTTCCCCTGCAAAGCTAACTGTTGCTAATGCTAACTCCGTACCTGGTGTAGCAGGAACGCCGAGGATATCTTTGCAGAGATTTGCAAACACCTCAGCCGTGTCCGCACGAGAGCTGGTGTGCAGCGTCTGATCCACTTTACTGAGCACGACCTGACGCAGGTTCATCAGTCCTGCAGGAGGATTAACACGTCAGCAGATTCACAGAGATGATTGGATTGCTGCAGAAATGTTAAAGATTTTTTTTTTTTTTAAAGTAGATCACCAGTGTTGGCGACTCTGGATGCGATCAGCTTGTCCAGCAGATTATCTGGGATCGGGGTGCCGTCTTTGTAGTGTCGAGACATTCTCCTCAGGGGCTCCTTCTCCCAAACCCAGTTCTCAAGCATCTGTGAAGGCACCTCCACGAAGTCCGTCTCCACCAGCGTGCCACTGAATTCTGAAAAAGTGGTCTGACAAAAACACACAGGACATTCAAGCTCCATATACGATACACACATTTAAAACTTAAAAAACAGCTGATTCATTGACATTACCTTCGAACAGAGCTCGTGCATAACGTGACCAAACTCATGAAAGTAAGTCTCCACCTCGTGGTGCTGGAGGAGGGATGGAAATCCTTTCCTGGGCTTGGTAAAATTAGCCACCATAGCTGCGACAGGAAGCCGGCGTTTTCCATCGGGTCCTCTGCAGCCTGGCTGCAGTCCAAAGCACGCCGCGTGGCCGTACTTTCCTTCCCTGGTGAAAAAATAAGGTCACAGATGTCACACAGCGAGACTGACTCTGACACGACTGAAACCACAAAGGACCAAGAGCTGCAGTCAAATCACAGCGTGAACTATAAACTCTAACTTGAAGGTGGATAAGTGACAGTCAATAAATTAACTGTCTCTGTGTGTGTCCGATCGACACATGAGCAAATCAGACCTATTTAGTTTTTTTAACCAGGCTGTAAACATTTTAATCTCTGCTGTAAAAACAGGCTTTTAGAATGGGTGTGTATGTGACTTCCTGTGCTTCTGCAGCCAGCCTCTATAAATATTTATCATTTTGCATTTCTGCATCAGCCTCATTTTTTAACACTGGAGGTTGCTGCTTGATTGGGGTGCAAAGCATACTTGCATACCTTGGTTCTTGCTTCTCGGTTGTTAAGATTTTCTGCTTTTTGTTGTTGTTACATGATAGTGAAGTGACTATTTTTGGATAGTTAAATGTTGGTCAGATACAATAAGATTTTTAAGCACATAACCTTGGCTCTGTGATAAATACAAGGCTTTATTTACAAAAAAAAAAAAAGCTGCAGATATGAGGCTATCACTTCCTGTCCTGCGCCTGAATCCTCATATTCTCTACCTTGGATGCAGGTCCATGTAGAACTGGCCGACCTCCTCTCCCGTCTCTGTGTCCCTCGCCGAATAAAGCTTGACATTTTCATGCCACACGTGAGCGTGCTCCACCTCCGTGAAGGCGAGCCCCAGCAGCTCCTGGTAGATTCCAAACAGTCCCTCTGTCACCACGTCGAGTGGGAAGTATTCGATGAGCTTGTCCTTGTTCACCGCAAACTTGCACTGCTCCACCTGGTTCATGTAGTACGGCAAGTCCCAGGCGTTGATCTGTGTGTCGAAGGGGAGGCCCTTCATCAGACACTCCCTCTTCTTCAGCGCCAGAATATATTTCCTCTCCTTGATTCCAATCGGCTTCAGTGTTTCATAGAAAGTATCTGCAAATTCAGATCAGAGGACCCAGTTACCAAGTTGAATTTAAATTAACTGCTTAATGATCTGAACTTAAAGGAGCAGTATGTAACTCTGACACCTAGTGTTTAAAACGGGTACTGCAGTATAAATTCTAAACATTACAGAGCGCTGTCTCCCCCCCCCCCAGAGTGGATGTTCACTCAGGTCACCATGTGGTGGACTCTGAAGCTTCAGTGTTTATCCAGCTCTGCATGGGTCTGTAAACCTTTCTGTGTTCTAACCTCTCTCCATTTTTCAAAAGCATCTCCAATATTGATCCTAGTTTGAGCACGTTTCTGCTCGTGGAGCTTATTAGAAACATGCAGAGGCTTTTTAGGTCGGGTATGTGTAGCTTGACAGAATCCAATATGAACGAAAGAGTGGCAAGAACATACCGGATAAAATGAAAGGTATCTCAGTAATTATTCTGATCGTATTCCCACGTTCGATGCTGTGCTCAGAAATGTTATGTACAAATTTACGATTTGATTAATTGATTTGAAAAGAGAAAAGAGGGCGGCTTGGATTTATCACAGCCGCGAGAATTATACTGCGAAATTGGAAGGACCCCAGGCGCCCCACTGTGAAGGAATGGACTGACGAAATGGTTAAGATCTCTTCATATGAAAACATGTTGGGAAAAATGAATGTTAGTGGAAAGATGACAGCGATCTGTTTTGGCAACATGTTGAACTAAGGTCATAGAATGGACTCATGTTGGTGGTTGTACCTCTCTTATGTCTGTGGCATTATTTTGTTGTTTTTGTTATCTCATGCTAGGAGATGACTTGTATGCTCTGCCTAAGTGCTTTATACTTCTTTATTGGTATAAGATGTGCTGCATTGTTTTAAAAACTGTTAAAAGTTAATAAAAACTTAAGTTACAAAAAAAAAAAAAAAAGAGGGCGGGCTGTGGCTCAGTGCTAGAGTCAGTCGTCTCTCAACCGGAAGGTCGAGGGTTCAATCCCCAGCTCCAACTATAGTAATTTTATCCTGGTGTTTTTGTTACATTTATATTTCTTGTGTTTTTTCTGTGTTGATATGGACCAATGGCTCTGAAATAAAGATTAAGGGAAAGTTTGATCTCACCTCTTTTTATAGATTTTCTTTATTAAATATCATCATAAGATAGAAAGTGACGCAGCTTATTTAACCGTGTGTCCACATGAGACATAAATCACAGTTTGTTACTCAACATACATGAGGCATGTAGAGCATGTAACATACACTAAATCATGTCTCGCCCCCTGCGTCTCTATCTTCTTCCACATCTACCTGTCATGTAAACCTCATGAATCTTAATAACGCAGAGCCGTAAAGACGGCGTGGGTCTCGGTCTTCTGTGACATGTGGGGAGTGTTTTTGTACGTGTGCATGTGAGGGCGAGATGTCGAGGGGGGGTCATACCTAAAAATTCAGACACATTGCGGGCATTCTTGGCCATGTTAATCTCCAGCACATAGTTCGCATGGCTGCTGTAACCCAGCAAGTCTGCCACCTTTGCTCTCAGTTCTATCAGCTGCTCGAGGATCGCCGTGTTTACCTGAACAAAAAAAAAAACATGAGTTTGCAAAATATAATACTTTTTATTTCATTCAAACATTTTTACTAAAAATTCATAAATAATGAGTCATAAATGCGTCATAAAAGGGAATAAACCTGTGGTGGAATAAAAAATGATCACTTAAAATATAAAATAACTAAAATAACCTAAAAAACATTTCAACATACTTTATAAACATATTTGAAGTAGGGCTTTTAAACAATCAAAATGTATAAATGTGGGTACAAGACACGATCTGTCGTCGGAAAAACTACGGGGAATATCAAACATTTTGAAAAGAGCGCTGGTTTGAGCGATCTCTGAAAAATAAAATAAATACATTTTTAATAAATTTAGAGGAAAAATTCAACATATTACACCTTTGAGCCCCGCCTCATCGCCTCCTTTTGGGCTGATACTTAGTTGATCGACAGTAAGGTGGAGATAGCGTTCCCAAAATAACGAGCGCCATCGTTCGGCTTCCAAATATCTCTTCAGACACCAATGGCTGACATCACAGAGGCTACGTCCATGTTTTATACAGACTCTTTCAGAAGCCGGTCAGCTGCTCAGAGACTGCGACAGCTCGTCCCTCATCATGCTTCACTTGTTTAAAACTTCTCATGTGAAACAGCATCATATTTATCTTCAGCAGTGATGGACACAATGCTAATTGTAGCTTACAGAACGATGAAATCAAAACATACAAAGATGCTGCATAACAAAGATGCATCACTTCCTCTGATATTCTTTTGGTTTTCAGGGTAACTTGAGTCCAGTTTAGGAATGGAAAAATTCCAACTAGAGTTTATTACAACTGTAAAAATGATACAGAGAAACGTGTCCATAAATCACTTCAGAACAGATTTAAACTCTAAACGTCGACCTGAGGTGTAAATACGTCACCTGAAGTGAAAAACAGATATCTAACGAGGTCTGCAGTGCGAAAGGAATAAACAGATTATCTATCAGAGTCCCGTTACCTCTTTACACCTGCTGTGAAAGGCCGTCTCCATCCTCCTCCTGCTCTCCGGATTGTGACACCTCTTCATGAGCGGGTAGTAATGCGGGTACTCCAGTGTCACTTTATAGCGCCCGTCTGCTGTTTTGTCCAGGCCGTTCAGATAGCTATCAGCCAGCCCGCCTTCACAGAAGAGGACAGCAACACACCATTAAAAAGTGAAAAAAAAAACCATCTTCACAAGGCCACACAGAGTTTAACAGCGTACCCAGTTCATGCTCGGAGAAGACGACAAACGTGTTGTCCTCGTTCAGATTCTGGTTGAACTCGATGGACAGTTCACTGATGAGCTTGGATGTTCTTTTTATTTCCTTACAAGAGAAAAATTAGAGAAATTTAGGGATAAACATTCCATTATTTAGCATGACAAACCAGACACTGCTCCTTGGCATTTTCTGAACTTTTTCAGATATTTGACATCCAGATTGTTTCTAAGGCCACGCTGAAATTTGCAAACTTTCTTTTGCACCCAGTTGCAGAAAACAAAATGAAAAGCCTCCTGTGGAATAGTAGAGTTTACATTTATGAGTGTACTCGTTTGTAATGGAGGTGCAGACAAAGACTGCTTTTCAAAACATACACACTAATTAACTCTGCAGTAAAATAAAACTACTCAGTGCCACATAGCCTAGCAGTTATGTTGCACACCCCATGTACAGAGGCTCTAGTCCTCATGTCAATCCCCTCGCTCTCCTCCCAATTTTTCTTGTCTCTCTTCAGTTGTCCGATCTAATAAAAGCAAAACGGCAAAACTATTCATACTCAGGTTGCATATAAAACCTGCCATCACTGTGTTTCTTAGATTTCTAAAGGTGCACACTGCCACCTACTGTATCAGAGAGTGTCCTGAACGGTATACTTCCTTCTAGATCTACATCTAATTTAAACGGCTCCTGTACTTTTGGTATAATCAAAGAGTCATTTTTACATGACATGGTGAGGTAATGTGAGGTGAAGTGAGGTACAGGATACGATACGAGAAGAAGGTGAGGTTAAGGATATCATACGACAACAGGGTGAGGTGAAAATAGATGAGATGAGGTGAGGTGAAGTGTAGGATACGATATGACATGACACAACGGGGTGAGTTTGGGTGAGGTGAAGTGAGGTTTCTGATAAACTGGAGAATACAAAATGCCCCTAAGAAGGTCCAAGTGCAGGATTCATTTATTTTATCACCACAAAAGTCAGTTTAACCTCCCTGTATTATTTATTGTTTACTTAAAGAGGAGATATTATCCCCCTCCTCCACCTTTTCAAACAGTCCCCTGTGGTCTAAATGAAACATCTGTGCTGTGCTTTGGTCAAAATATAACATGAATCAAGCACCAGAGGAGGTTTGTAACCCTGTATAAACCAGCTCTCTCAGAACGCTCCGTTTTGGTGTGTGTGTCTCTTTAAATGCAATGAGCCCCCCCTGAGTTTTCCCCGTAGACATCACTCCTCTGTTTCTGTGCTGAAGTTTAGCTCTAGTCTGGGGGTGGAGTCCATGGGTGGAGATATCAGGGGAGGGGAGGGGATTTCTTTTTACCAGAATCCCACTGTGACATCACAAGGAGAGCACATTTGAAACAGAGCATTTTTCTCTGTGTTGTAAGACTTATGCAGACCACAAACAAAGGAATGGATGGGTTTATTTCACATTTTGTGGGTCAGTAGACACTCAGGTTACACAATATGTCCCCTTTAAAACTGATAAAAACAGATTTTGTTATAAAATCTCGAATCAATGCGTGTGTTGAATTGTAGATCACTTATTGCGTTACCTCTTGAATATCTTTGGACAGGTGCAATCCTTTCTGCTTTCCTAAAGTAACAAGTCTGTTTAAGAACCTCCTCTCCTCAGGTAAAAGGTCGTCTTGGAGCTTGTTCTGTAGCAAAAAAAGACAAATAAATACTTTCACACAGGCAGAAATATGACCACGACTTTATGATGTTTTCTTTATGTTTACTGCCTGGCAGCATAAATGGGTCATATAGTGAGTCCAGAGTGGAACAGCATATGGTGTCTTACTCAGATTCAATTTCTTTCCAAAGTTAAATAAGACGCAGCGATGGGGGGGTCAGATGAGGGTACGATATCCATGATCTCCGCATGAGACCCTTCAGTTATGTACGTCAATCACCTGCCCTTTTTTAGCCCCAGTGGGATTATCTATCGCTGGCATAGCTAACACGGTTAATGCGTCAAACCCTCATTCATCATATTTAGAGAGCTTCCTCGTCTCCTCCCCCCTAAAGGTTACGATGACTTTAACACCTCATTAGAGACGTTCTGGACCACAGGTCGATTAAAGGCCAGTCTTTGTATCGTCTTTCCTTCACCTTCAGAGTGATGCTGTCGACGACGCCGCGTACCTGCAGAGCAGTGATCCGCTCGAACACGTCCTCCCTCATGCTTATCTCCACGTCAAACTCCGACAGCTTCTTGTCGGCCTCGGTACTCGCCGCCCGAACCTCTTTGGAGGGACAGACGTACTGAGGGAAATCCAGAACGTGGCGCGATGCTGAGGGGGAAAGAAACAAATGTAACGTTTTTCTTGTCATCAAATCCCGTTTAAAGACCGAGAAAACAAGCTAAAGTGCTATGACCACACTCAGCTGTAGTCACGTTTTTTTGTACATTCATATTGATTTGCAGCGGCGTAATATTGGCGTCCCGATCTGTGGATTCACATTGTGAAAGCACGGCACAGAGGGAGCTTCACATACACACACAGTCAGACATGCACACAGAGCTCCCGTGCTAGCTCTGCTGATCCTGTCTCGCCCTCTGTAACGCCTCTGTTACTTCCTCCAAACACGGTACAGCAACACCCAGGGGCGTGAATATCGCAGCTTGAAACGGCGGTCTGAACATGGCTCTTGTGTTGGTTCATCTTTTGGTACAAACAACAACAGTGACTAATTATTTGTCTTCTTTTTTGTTTGTTTTCCCTAAAGAATTTATGCGATCAACACCCGTTCTCTAAGCACAGTGACTGTTGCTGATATCGTAACTTCAGGGGGATTTGGAGCCCCCTAGTGGCTGAAATTTTGTATCTGCACCTTTAACTCAAACAGGATGCTTGGCGGTTTGTTTTCCTTACAGATAAATTATTAAGTATTAAGTATTAAGTATTAAGTATTTCTATCTTGTGTGATTTTAGAAAACAAGAAGACTCTAGAATAACTATACTATACTTACACACGTACTCCAGTTTGGCATTAGCCAGGGCATTCAGGGTGTTTTCAACAGACACATTTTCTATCTTTAGCGCTCCAATGTCATCGTAAACCATCTTCACTCTGTTAATCAAGCTGTCAGTGGCCGTCCTGATCTCAGCCGGAGAAAGGTCCCATCTCAGGGTGTTTCTCCTGTTCCCCGCCACCTGAGAGCGCTCTCTGGCGGATATCACAGAGCCGTTATGGATGGTCATCCTCAGGACAGGTTTAGAGACGCTGTAAAGAAACAACACATTTAAAAAATATATTATTTATTTGAGCACCAGACAATAAAAAAAGAGACGGTTTTCTTCGACTTATTCTCAAGATTTTCCCTTATTTCCAAATATTAGCGAGTGACGACACCCGTCTGTTCCTGCAGGGGGCGCTGGAGTCCCATCGATGGCGGTCTCCATTCTGGAAATGCTGTCTCAGTCTAACTTTCAGTCAACCTAACAACAGGCTGAGAGCTGGAGCTGAGGCGGGTTTTAAATCCACCTGTCAATCAGGTCAGCTACACGCCTTATTGTGAATAACTCTTATCCTTCATCAAATCAAAACTGATGAGTCATCAAAACATTCACCCCCCGTACAGTGTGTGTCCATCCAGACATGAGCTAATCACACCTATTTGGTTTTTTGAACCAGGCTGTAAACATGTTCATCTCTGCTGTAAAACAGGCTTTTTAGAATGGGTGTGTATGTGACTTCTGACGCTTCTGCAGCCAGCCTCTAGTGGACACTCGAGGAACTGCAGGATTTTGGTGTATAACCAGGATTTTCAGCTTTATTCTAAAACAAAAGCTCAGAAAGTCCCCTCCTTCATTTTGTCAGTTTCCGAACAAACCATCTCGACTCAGCTACAGGACTTGGTAACAGGTGGAACTCATACGAGCAATAAATCGTTTCAAGGTCGTACATGAAACGAGCTCTGCATATTTTCCGTGCTAACCGGGTGACCTTAAATTTCCATGTACAGTCGGTGTCCGGTTTCATGGCCTGGCATGGATCGGAAGCTGTTCAAAACAAGTTCAGACAGTAAAAGCGTGGGATAATAGTAAAGCAGCTGTGGTAGACATCAGCCAAAAACCTTTCCAAACAGCTCAGTTATTTATCCAAATGCTCCAAAACACAGATCACTTCCACCTGTTTTAAATGTTTAACAGATGTTGGTTTAATTTAACAACACAGGAGTTGACTTTAACTGCAGCCTTTCATTAATGTGCAGCACAGGTGTTAGATAAACAGACTTTAAACATGGCAGCTGGTTAAGTGTAACACACACACAGAAGCATACCTGCACATTGTTCTGCAGACTATCACTCTCAGTGCACACATGCCGGCGGGTTCATGCGTTTCAATCCGAGCAAACTTCTTCTCTTACTCTTAAGTCTCAGAGTCAGCAGCTGATCAAACCAAAGTGTCAGGCTCCCTCTCCTCTCCTCTCCTCTCCTCTCCTCTCTCTCGTGTAGGAAATGTTTCTCCTCCTCATTTCCGCTGGAAGCTTGCAGAAACCAGTGATGGGTAATTAAGTTCTGGTTAGTGAGCCGGAACTTCTGGCTCAGCTCGGAAATAAGAGTCGGATCTTTTGACTCGCAAACGGCTCTTTTTAACCTATAGTTGGTAAAACTAGGTATTATAAAACTAAAGCTGGCTAGACACTGGGTGATTTTGGGTCCGGTGCCACCCCCTTGGCGTACTGGCCTCAATACATGGGGCACAACTTAACCGCCAGGACATCGGCGCCCCACAATGCCACTTTTTAACAGTTTTGCGCTTTCATTATGTCAAATCAAAAATCATGCCTTTAAAGAAAATCGTGATAAATAACTTACCTTATGGCGGGCAGTTTCTTTGTTAGACTTCTTCTTGGATTTTTGCTGTGTGTCCGTGCCGTGAAAACGTTTTCTTCCTAGCTTTTATGTTCTTGATAATCAATCAATTTATCAATCAATTTTTATTTGTAAAGCGTCAACTCATAACAAGTGTTATCTCGAGACACTTTACAAAAAGCAGGTAAAATACCTTACTTTTGTCTGTTAACATTACAAAAGAACAGGTAAAAAGACCTTACTCATTGTTATGTTACAAAAAGCAGCAAGGGGGTGGGGGGAGGCAATCAAATGTAAGGTTTTACAAAAGAGTGATCCTTAACCCTTAGATGCATAAGTGAGTAAAAAAAGATTCCAGTTACTATTCAATGTTAAAAGTGAAAAATTACTGAAACCTAAACAAGTGAATATTTTTAACCAAAATGACAAAAAATACATATAAACTAGGGATGCACCGATACATCGGTTCAACATCAGTTTCTGCCGATATATCGGCACATCGGCAAATAATGTGGCATGAACCGATGTCGGTAGCCGATGTTTATTTGTTGTTGTGCCGAATCGATTTAATGCTGACATCTAGGACACATAACTACTGAGTCTGACGCCAAAAGAAGTCTTGAAACAAACATCGATATCTGCAATCAGCTAAATCGTTTTATCAAACAAAAGTGTATCGATGTCAGTCCTGATTTTCCCAATAGGTGATTTTCTAACCCAATAAACACATTGATTGTTTTTGGCTCATTGTTGACCCACTTATGGATTAGTGGTCCAATCACTTTGGCATATTAAATACCCACAAGCAATACACTTTCCTCAAAAACCTTAAGAGTAAAACAAAGATTTGAAGTCCAGGTGGATCAGTGCAGTTTCTCGTTCAAATACAGAAGCTGACTTCGTCTTCAAAAAAATAAAAAACCAACATCTTCTTTCTATTGACATCAGGGGGTGGCTCTTTGAGCCGACTCGTTCTCCCGTGACACATCTCCGGCGCATGCGCAGAGTGATGAGAATTCGCTGGTATCAATCGGACAGAAATCCTCATGACGCGGTAGCAGGCAGCAGACAGCTGGAGAAGAGCTCAGGTAAGGTGGGCGGGGAAGGATGGGGGACACCGAATAGCACCATTTGAAACTGTCTTATTTATAAATGATCTTCAGGGTTGATCTCAGATTGACCTGTCCTACAGCTCCTCCTCCATGTTGTCGGGGCACGGGACGGGTTTTAGCAATAACATCGCTTTTTAGGAATGGCATCCACTGTCAGCGTCATTTACTGTAACCTACTTCCTGAATGCATTGTGCCCCAAAACAATGTAATGTCGTCGTGGAGAATAAAAACACCTCTCATGCACCGTTATGGTATTACATCACAGCTTCTGCATCACTGCATGTGTCAGTGTCAACACACACACACACACACACACACACACACGGGGAGGAGGAGGAGGAGGAGGAGTGGCTGTGTGCAGACCATCAGGAACATAACAACGCCAGACTCCGACACGTGATGACGGAAATATGAGGCAGTGTTTTGTACCTGTGCATGATTTTACATGACAGTGAATACGGCGGCCTTCTGTGCACCCTGCTGCTGCACTTACAGCCTGAATGAGGAGCTGAAAACTGCAACTGCAAAGGGCTGTAAACAGAGCAATGTGTTTTTGTAATGAGGAGGAATAACGTATGCTTTCATTTCATCCTCCTTTGAGTTGTCTTGGAAACAGCAACCAAATGCACCACCAGCATCCTGAACAGTAACATGCTGTTAGAATGGATGATAACAAGGATTCATCTGTAAGGAGGCATCCACAACAAAAACAAAAACAAAAACAAATAGCTGCTCAGTTCAATCATCCAACCAGAAGAACCTTTTTTTTTTTTTTTTTTTTACTAAAAAAGTACACAACTTAATTCTTCATCGATGGGACAATAAAACAGTAAACAAATCTCATTCTCAATTTCAACGAACTCAAACAACAAACACACTCTGTCGTCCTCTGGAGCGGTGCTAAACTTGATGCTCTCTCAAGCTAAATGAGATGAGATGAGATTCAGCTTTATTGTCATTACACATACACACAAGTATAGAGTAATGAAATGAGGTTTGGCATCTCACCAGAAGTGCAATAAGCAGAAAGTGCAAGAGTCTGTGCTATGTACAGTAATTACAAAATTTACAGATGTAGACAAAAAAAGTGAATTATTGGTTATATATGGCTGGATTAATTGGATGCTATAAATATAAATAAATACTAAATGGTATGCTCCTGAGCACAACATGGACAGCTGTTATTTTTTTTTTATATACTTTTATTGCAATACATTAACGTTTCCGATCATTGTACTTACACATATTTGCAACATTTTTTCATATTTTTAACACCCAGTGGTGAAAAGGAAACAATACATAGAAATATATATACACAGTATGCAGATTCAAAATGCATATAACAGAGGCAGCATCCAGAGCGAGCTTTGTGCTTCCTTTTTACAAGCATATAGAGTCAGGTTAAGCATACTGTTAAAGAAATTTAAAAAAGAAGTAGAAAAGGATTAAATGAGAAAAAAAACCAAATAAAAACAGCTGTTCTTGAGAGTTCTAATCAGCATCAAAACCATCCTAAATATCATCATCATTCTAAAATTAAGTGTGAGGGTATTCTTGAAAGAGCTGGGTCTTTAGCTTTTCCTTAAAGGTGCAAAAGGGACTCAAATGGAGTTTGGAAGTTCGTTCCATCACCAGGGGGCGACAGAGGAGAAGAGACTAGTTTGAGACTTAGGACGATGTTGTGAAGTTTGGATCAGACGCCTTTCATTGGCAGGGCATAGCAGGCAATTGGGGGGGGGGAGTGTAGACCTGGATTAGAGAGTCTTTACAAACAAACAGATTTCACCTCGTTAAGATATATTTTTAGTGAGTCTCTGATCCGACATCTTCAGGCGCCAAAGTCGAAGCATTTCACGTTCATGTCTGATGTGATGCAGAAAGATCGACAAACAGCTCGATACTCAGACGATCGAACGTTTCTGCAGACGTCACATTATCTCTGTAACTTGATTTCAGCCAATCAGAAGTATATAAACCACTAAGTGTTTGTTTGAATGCTCGTCAACTATGCAAACTAATCACACAAAAAAAAATCCTCTTTGAGTCATGTAACAGTTGTGTATTTGTATTTGCTCTGCATGTGTATACACTGGTGTGTGGATGACCGTCTTCCTCTGCCCCGGCAGTTTTCGAGGTAAAAAAAATGGCGGTGGAGAAGCGCCTGGCATTCTCTATTGTGCAGTTCCTCCGAGATCAAACACACTGTGGCGCTTTGAATTCTGATGAGCAGGAGAGCCTCGAAGGTAGGCCGACTCACATGTGCGCTTACATTTTGGAAATTCTGCTTTAAAAATCACAAGACATGCAGTCGTATCCAGAACATTTCATGTCCTCAGTTCAATATCCTGCAAGAGAAATGAGGATACATTTGTGCAGAATGTGTTTTTATTAAACATGAGACTGAGGTAAATATTTCTCATCCAGGTTGTGACTGTACTCTCCCAGGTGTAATCTATCCACTACTTTATGATTCTGTTTGCTACAGTTGCCATACAGTGTCTGGAGACGACCTTTAAGATCAGCTCCAGCGACTGCCATCTTGCGGTGCCACAGCCTCTGACGGAGATATTCCTCAACTCGCTGCTCAAGGTGGGTGCTGCACCATCCACCGGGGACCAACGCTTAAACCGTCTGAAAACTCTGATATTGATCAGGTGCTACTGAAGAGGTGTTTAAATCTAGATGAATGCCTGTTGCATTATCCGCAGACGATGCTGTAAAACGATCTCTCAGCACATTTGGATGATGGCTGTGATCCAGTGAGGAGAGATTAAATCCCTCCTACACGACTTTAGTCACAACTTTTCTCGTTCATACGGTCGTGTTTCATTCACCTTCAGTTGACTTGGAGGTTCTCTTTGTTTTCTTTGTGCTCGTTCTCAGAATGACAACCTCACACTACCAGAGAGTTCTCCGTCTCCAGAAGACATCGAGCGAGCCGAGCAGCTGAAGAATGAAGGTAATGTTCAAACTCTGATCCCTCAGCAGCTCCTCTGAGGTAACAGACTTATGGACTTTACTGTCACTCATCAGGACATGAGGTGGTGGTGTAGGCAAGACCAAGACCTTTAGGGATCTAGACCGAGTCAAGACCTAGACCAAGGCAAGGCAAGACCGAGACCAAGACCAAGACCAGACCAAGACCAAGACCTTTAGGGATCTAGACCAAGTCAAGACCAAGACCAAGACCAAGACCAAGACCAAGACCAGAAGGGAGACCGAGACAAGACAAGACCAAGACCAAGACCAAGACCAAGACCGACCAAGACCAAGACCAAGACCAAGACAAGACAAGACCAAGACCAAGACCAAGACCAAGACCAAGACCAGGGGCAAGGCGAGACCGAGACAAGACCAAGACCAAGACCAAGACCAAGACCAAGACCAAGACCAAGACCAAGACCAAGACCAGGGGCAAGGCGAGACAAGACAAGACCAAGACCCAAGACCGAGACAAGACCAAGACCAAGACCAAGACCAAGACATTTAGGGATCGAGACTGAGTCAAGACCAAGACAAAGGCAGGGCGAG